AAAAAAGCTTTATAAAACTGTGTGGAATAAAATCTAGGAAGAATATATTGTTTTCTATCTATCTGTGTTTGTTGTATGATAGCACCAAAATGGAAGATTATTCTCACRTCATTAGAATTAATTAACATATACTTAGCAAATAGAAACTATGATCCAGGTCCTTGGTGAATTCCAAATTACATTAAAATTGCAATGCAATGACTTGTATTTTATGGATGACAATCTCGAAGATTTTTTGCATGTTTGTTGCTCCCTGTAGGATAATGCAAAATAAAGAATCATTAGCTAAAGTCCCACAGGAATGGTTTTACTCTTTCCTGGAACCAGTCATTCAGTAGCATCAAGCGAGATGAAATGAAGACTAGATAGCAATATGGATCTGTAATGAAGTGAGGAAATTAAGAGGCACCAGAATTAAGTATTTCACATATTCATGCTGTTTCAGTATAGGAAAGGTTGAGGAAAAGGAGAATTGTAATAAAATGCTGTTTTGAAGCAGAAGTTGGATAATCACTCTTTTCCTTTACATATGTTGACCTTTATAGTAATTGTCGATGATACCTGTATATTCTCATGCTGGTATCACTCAGTGCTTGCCTTTCTGACTGCTATAAATGGTTCCTTATATTGAGCAAGTACAGTAGATCTCTGTTTTACTTTATATGGGAAATTAAATTATTTTTACTCATTTTCTTTAAACGTCTAGATAGAGACTACAATGTGTTCTGTTAGAAATAGCAAATTTGAGTGAGGCATGAGTGCAGTAGTATCACAGGCATCATGCAGGCTGGAAATAAAAATCCCGCTCTTCTCCACATCCAAGAACACAGACCACTGACCTTGATGCTTTCTTTGCCTTTTTTTTTCTAGTAGTGCTTGCATCATGATGTTGCAGTACTTGCTACAGAGTGGTCACTGCATATTACTGTATTATTTATTCACATAACATAACTACTTTCACTTCTGCACTGTTGCCTGTAATATTTCTCTGTTAGATAAACTTGTGTCTCTGCAAAGAAAATGCTTGATATTGGATTCTTTTTGTATTTATTTCTTATTGMAATGTTATTTTAAAGATCCTTAGATAACAAAGCAGTGATCATGGCAGAGAAGCCTATTTGGGCATAAGGAACCAAAAGCAGTATAAATAAATCTAAATAAACCCTCCAGTCCCAAAACATTTAGATGCTATGGTGTGAATTCTGTGAGTTTATTTATGAATTCAATGCAAAGMTCACAGTAAAATCACCATCTCTGAGCTTATTACCCTGTTCTGATATATAAGGGAAAGAAAAAATGTGCAGTTTTAAACATACTCCTACAACATGTATTATAATAGTAAGTGTATATGCAGATGGGATCCTTAGATGCGTATAAGTATCAGAAGATTTGGGATAAATGAAGTACCTAACAAGTTGCTGTGGGCCACTAATAYATCTGTAACACATAATTTCAAGACTAGGTGAATTACGTAAAATTAAAGTATAACATTTGACTTTATATTTTAATTTCTGGGCTAGTTACATTGAGACTTACTCCAGTAGGCATGTAAGGTTTATCACTGTAGTGCTGTATCTTTCTTTCTTATATTGATGGTGATTAATTTTTTGTCTTTTTCATTTTGATGTGTTACCTGTTAGGTTTCTAAAACTTACAAACCCCTTATATAGTAGTTCCAAATGTAATGAAATGTTTCAAATTCTGTTAGACCCAAAGAGGAAAAGGAAAACGGGTGAACCATGAAAAATGCTCCGTGTGTTTGTGCTGATCATATTTTATATTAGAAGATTATAATTTCTGTCCAGAGACTTGTTATATGAAAATAAATTGCAGTAACTCTCTATATATCTCAATACAAGGTGAAAACATTAGATATTATAATCCTAAATATTCCTATTATAATTAGGAATATTTAATGGGCCTACATAAAAATTACAGAYTATAACAATATGCATGCAGTTCATAGCATTATTAGTACAGTGTGAGGTATTATGAATATATATATTTTTTCAAGACCTAACAGGATATTGGGAGGTGAGAAAGGAATYTGTAAGAAAAAAGAACTATATGGCAGCTACCATTTGTTTTGAAAATGAGCAGATATGAATCAAACAAATGTTGAAAGAGTATATTAAAAGTGAGGTTTATAAAAATAATGCTCAAAAAAGATCAAATACGGAACAGTGGTAGTTTTGCCATCTATAAGCTGTCAGCGTAACAGTGTAATTGGTTCTTTTTATAGCTTGCATGGCCTCCTGTGAAAAATGCAAAAATCATAAATTTAACAAAGGTATGGGAATGTAAAATGTAAAAGAAACTTTTGCTCATGCTAAACTGTGCCTGTTCCAGAGGGGGAAACGTATCTTCTGGTGAACAGAAAGTCATCATGCCAAAGCTCTTTTAGAAGAGTTTGTGGAAGAATCTTTTCATGGACTAGTGTTTTTTTTTTTCATAGTTGTGGTGACTGCAGTAGCCTGAGAATCATTTATTCCTTAGGTTCCTCTGTAAAAGGTTAGTTTTCACTAGTAACCTAGCGATCTCTGCATTAGAATAGTATAAGATGCTTCTATCATTCCAATTTTAACGTTCACCTTCAKGTTTGCAAGTCAAATAACTGAATTCATATTCTTGGCAGTAAATATTGAAGACTGGGATGTTTTATTTTTGTTTTCAATTTCCAGTTCTTTGGTCCATGTTGGCTCCCTGGCTTGTTCTTTCTAATCACTCTGTATATGCTGTTTCTGAACACTATGGCATGACTCCTTTTTAGTGGAAGGCTTGGAGCTAACTTTTTTTCCTTTTAAATAATAACCTTCCTCAATTACAGAACAAAATAAATAAATAACTGAAAAGAGCCTCTACATCAAATGTCTGTTGCCTTAGATCATAAGAGTTACAACCAAGAGCCAGAGGAACATGTGGCTTTCTGCTTTGTGCAGAGAAATAGAGGATGATGATACATATATATGCATATTTTATATATATATATATATATATATATATATACACACACACCTTTATTAGTGTATTTTAATACTGCTCTCATGTGAGGCCTGATAGACCTTATTGATGTAATGGTTCAAGTTGAAAACATTTTGAGTTTCAGCTCAGGAAAGGCCAAAAATTTGAACTTTTTCCTGTAGATATGCATTTTGTATTTATCAAACAGGGGGAAAAAAAAGCTCAGAGAATTACAGATAGTGAACATGAACTGTATCTTATTCCTTAGTTGCAAATTCACTGATTTTGAAATGTCAAGAATAGGCAATCCACCCTCTAACAGGAACTGTTTCATGTGGTAAGGGCTTGTCAGCATTTTAGTATAAGTTCATTCTTCAGGGTATAGTATTTTGCTCCAAGCTGAATGCTGAATGTGAAATATCATCCTCACAGTGAAACTTATGCTTATCAAATTTGGCTGAAATAGCTTCATTTTAAAYAGTTCAGAGGTCCAACAAGACAAGTTTGTCACCTTGATCATTTTGCTATATGAATTACTCAGATTAACTTGCTTGTTTCTATTTAATCAGCTGCTTAGTGGCGCTCATCTAAAACTTTAAATACTTACTTTAAATTACTCTTTTATGTGGACTCAAAGCAAACATGAACATTAACCTGCATGTTTAATTTCTTCCTCTTGCCTCATCTGAATATCTGTATATTTGAGTTACTAAATTGCATCCATATAGCTTATTCTAAAATCCTGAGTTAATGTCCTAGTGCAAAGAAATCTAAAAGGCTAGAAAATGACATTCCAACTTCAAATATATCACTGGGAGAGATTTACTGCTGAATGTGCAATATGATTGTCAGTAAAGTCAAATAAACAACACGGGGATATTTTATTCTTTCTTACAATGGGCTGCTTGCTCCAGCTCCCCAGGTCATGCACTGGCTGCATACTAATATTCAGATGGGCATTGTTTTCTGATTATACCAGATGGCTTCTTGTTTTAAGCTTTCTTCACAAAGGAATAAAAAGTAAAGCTATTTCAAAATGTAGAATTTCAAGTAAAATATTCTTATCTGCTGAGGCTGGGAAGAAGAGTCATGGCAGCAAAGAGAAACTATTGCATGTGCCAAATTATCATACGAATGATATGTGTAGAAATAATTTTGTTTGACCTTCCAGAAATAACTCTAAGGCTAGTGTAATAGCACTGAAACTGCTGATACCAGTGACATTTTTTATGTTACAGTACTATATTGGTGGTAAGAGSACCTTGGCAGTTTGGTGGAAAAATAATTAAGAATATTTGTGACCTTAATCTCAAGAGACTAGTATGGCTACTTTGAGTTTAATTTAGATTATGAAATACAAAACACCAGATCAGAAACCTTCAGTAAATATTTTATTACCATGCAATGGCCAAGTATAAAGAGTCAGATGAATGACTGCTTAGTTCTAAGCAAAAGCAGAGTATTATAAGAGATCATAGGACARTTTTCTCTTATTTCTACATCTTTTCTATAGGTAGCTAGTGTGAAAGTTCAGTGTCATAGCATAACTGTGGAAAGAAGCAATCTGTACAAATAAGTTCTAGGATAAGCTAGAACTCCTTTGCACTGATTAGAAGTAAGTTTTCTGACTCTGACATATCTCTTCTTTGCTTTTAAGAACAGAAACTAAAATGAGGTAGGAAGATCCAAACTGAAATTAGGTATAGTTCTGGAGGGGAAAGTTCAGGTTTTTCCAATATAGCAAAGATGAARGCAGCCAAGGAAACAGCAGGTCCTCATCACTGACCACAACTGTGGTCATTCCACTTCTGWAGCCCCCTTCAGTGATCTTGAGAAAGGAAGAAAGAAAAAGGAGAGAGGCTACATGAGCACTGTTTTCCCTAAGGCTTTTTCTGCACTGCAGGAAGGGAATCTGGGCCAGATCTCAAGTAATGGAGAGCAGACAGCGCAGCAAAAAATATCCTCTAGTGTCGTCTTTTCATGTCAACTGGCAGGTTATTCCTACCAAAGGAAACTTGGATGTGTTGTTATATAATACCAGAGTCATTTTACCTATGTGTTTTCATTACTTGATAGCAATGCTTTCTGCTTGGTATGTTTCCTAAAATTTAGGCTGGTTGGGGTTCTCTGGGCCAATTCATTTGTCTCCAGTTGGGATTTTCTTGATTTTAATAGGCCTTTCTAAAGATGAAGTCTTAATCATTTTGATATTAATGCGTAACTGTAAGCAAATTGTGTTTACCTTCTTTTTTTGACATAACTTATGATGGAAAGTAAAAATTTCTAACCATATACTTGAAAAAGTATGATCGAGCCTTTGCCATGATTCAGAGGGATGTCATCTTAAATTAGAGTTTTCAAATGGATGTAAATAATATGATCAGATGGCATAAATGGAAGAGAGAAAGAGGGGAAWATGGTTCAAAACAGATGACTGGCAGCTGTTTTTCATATGAGAAAGTGTGGAGTGACCTTCCAGGCATGATTATGGTATGGAGCCCTAAATAATGRATCATTTAGAAGAATTAGAAAGCATTTGGGGTTTGTATAAGCATAGAAATGGGACAGACATTAAAATATGCTTAGCATATATTCTTGTATATATAGAAATATCAATACTGAATTTAGTATTGGTTGTACATGCCTTAGTTCATCATAACACCATGACAGTATCCTCTCCTTAATGAGTTATGTGGAGGTAGTTATGTGTAGAACTTGTGGAGGTAATTTTTGCCTCTTTTTTCTTTTTTTAAATAGATTTCTTCTTCTGGAGTTGTTGTACAGTGATTGCCCGATGCCCTGTCATACAGCAATGCTTTAGCATGCAGGGCAGTTGTACCTTTTGTGGAGACTCTTGTTGGCACTGCAGAACGGACACCTCCTGTGGCAGAAAGGTTGGTTTGGTTTCTATTGCTTAGGCTTCTCTAGAAATGGAAGAATGCTTTATGTGATTTTAATGTGTATCTTTTCCAAGTTTCCCTCTTTCCTACTGTTAGTAGGAAAATTTTTCATTAGGAGTAATTTGCTTAACTGATTCATCTTACCAGCAGAAATATAATCCTTTGCATAAAACAGCCTTTATATGTAGGCTAAGAAAGCAGACGTGCATAACAGTAAACTTCAGCTTGTCTAAATTAAGTTGGAATGCTTTAGAGAGTTTGTTTTTATACCTGTTATAAGTGTGTYTCAGGAAAGAAGACTATTGCTAGACAATAAAGCCTAACTTGCTGTTCTAYACATAAGTTGTCACAATTCAAAAATTGATTGTAAACTGGTGCAGTTCATCRTAAGAGAACTTGTCTTTGCCTAAAAGAATAATTTTGGTAGTGAGGAAAAATTGTTCTCTTCTTTGGCAACTTATGTGTATATAAAGTTTGAGAATAARTCCTGCAGTGACCAAGGTTGGAAAGATTATTTTCTGGCTAAGAGAGCAAACATGCTTTTCTCTAAAAGAGCACAATTTTTAGTGAGCTTATGATTCTTAAGGACAAAGACAGGARTTTTTAGTGGGGCCAGTATTTTAACAGTTGCTAACCTTTCTAAGATAACAGCTTTGTACTGATTTCTGTATGTGAAAGAAACTTTTTTTCCCGCAAGTTCAGGTCACTGCTACATACTCTGTTTTAGTTAGTCTGTTTTTGCACTGTATGTGACGGATCCTGCCTTGCAATAACATTTTCACCTGATTTTCTCAAGCAGAAGGGTGTAAAACATTATTGGGTGTAAAAAGAATTATTTGTGAATTATTTGTAAATTATTTGTATTTGTAAAAAGAATGACTGTCTGATTCCACAAAAAAAGTGCATATTATGCTGTAGCAGTTGCATTGCTGGCAGTTGATTGTCCTAACAGACAGATCTGCCATCATTCAAAATTAATTCCAGTAAAACCCATAACACATTCTAAACTTTAATATCTGTTTATGATACTACATACATCATACATCATACATCATACATCATACATCATACATCATACATCTTGTGTGTTGTTACAAATATTATGAAACTTTATAATTTCTATTTTACTTCAAAAATAAGCAATAAAACCGTTAATTAAAATATTAATGATAATGATCAAATGGGAATGATTGAAGATGAAATAATACCAGAATGTTCAGTTATTATCATGAGAAAAGGAGGGGAGTGGTAGTCCTTTTGATTGCTATATTGTATAAAAATAATTGGTTCATTATCATAATTATATTCTTGTTCATGATATCAAGGTCAAACTAAATAATAGTAAAAGCATAGGGATGTCAGTTTACAGATTCTGGCAGGTATTAATTGAGGAAATAGCAGTTTCTATTATGTTTCRTGGTGCTGAAAAGAGACAGGTGAATGTCAAACCCAGAGGACCTTCCTTGTATCTCATATTCTTTACCATCTGTGTTGGGAATTCTAATTCAGCCGTAGGCTGAGAAAGAACAGAATGTTCATCTAGTTCTGTTTTCCCATCTAAAAATTCTGTTGTCTAGATGATGTTGCAGTGGTATCTTTATTTACTTTATTTATTTATTTTAACTTTTTACCAGAAAAATATTATGTTCCAAATTCAAATTCAAGTAAACATTTACATCTTGAAACRCTGAGTGCTGTGTTGTTTATTATAATTCTAGCGAAATTTCCTTGGCATTTCTAGAGTCTTAATAATTAAGCAAATCTAGCTTTGTCTTTCCCTTCCTTCTCTCTACCTCCATCAATCTTTAATGATGAGAGAAGCCTATTCAGAAATTTAAAAAGTGCATTTTAAAAGATTTAATTTGCTTCCAGTAGATCAAGGAGAGTACAAAATGAGTTTACTATTGGTTTTAAACTCCATAGATGATAAACTGAACAAAATTAATGGATGATCAAAGGCATTTTAACTAGTCCATTGTTTGAACTCAWATTACAAATCCAATCACTAGTAGTGAAGATGCTGATAAATGTGTTATCAGAACCATGTTGAATAAAGTCATATTGTTGTTTTAAAAAAACCCAGTCAATGTTGGCAGCTCGCAATAGAAAAAAAAATAAAACTTCTCATTGAATAAACATGAGGGATTTGATTTGATTTGTTTTTTTTCTTTTTAAGCGAAACTGTCATTGTGTTAGTTTGAAAGTATTTCTTCCTAGGCTCTCCAATAACTGTTTTATCTAATGAAAATTCATATATTGCTAAGTTAAAATTCTTGGAAATAATTTTGAAAGGACAGTGAGGTTGCCACACCAAGCATTCAGAGTGTTCGCTTTTAATTAAATTATAAAATAGTTGCTTATAGAAGCATTTTCTTTAATAAAACTGTCAAAATTGGTTGATCTGTTTTCACTGAAGCTTYCTAACAGTGTCAGCTTGATGGGCATATGGTGCTTGAAAACATCATCTGACCATTTGGCAAATGTGAAACTAATTTTAGAAATTTTGTAAAGGAAACAGTAACAGACAATGAAGTTCTAGATCACTCACTAAAGTATATCTCCCTAAAAAAACACATATTTTAGGTGGAAGAGAGGTGGAAGAGGTATGGTAGGCACCTGTGTTTCATGTCTTGATCTGCTTGTAGTTCTTTTGACTGACACAACAGCTGTGTGGTGGCAGATTTTTGGCTCTGTGAACTGAGGATATGAGAGTGTCACTAAATACTGTCATCTTGTCCTTGAAAAGATGAAGAACTGTTTGTGGAGGCGAAATTTTGTGAAAAGATATGGGTTTCCTTGTGCTGCCTTTAATCTGTTATAAATTGGACATGTTTTCCAGTGACTATAGCACGGACAAGTTCCCTGTGGTATGAACAGTGTCATTTTTTTTTATTATGGAGTAGAATGTAATGTTTGAAATGGCATATGAGCAGTAACAGATTTATCAAACAAGTTGAATCAGGTTACATCAAATACTTGGTCTTTCACACTGTGATTTTTTGTTTTGTTTTTCATGTCCTGGGTGGTTGGTGGTATGTAAATCRAAGGAAAAGAAATAATCAATCAGGGTGTCTAAACTATACTTTAAAAATAACTGATGGAGCGGGCTATATCTGTTAGTATGTGTGTATTGTTTAAAAAAAAATCCAATTCTCCCCCTCCAGAACACACAATATACATTTTGAACTGATGAAAAGACAGTGTTTTAATTCCAGATAGTAATTAATCCCTGCCACCWCCTTACCATTCTGGCATCTTCTGTCAGCTGATTTATTCTAGAGAGTTGGCCATACCCATCCTTTATTGTCATTAGGTACATATAAAACGGAGTGTCCCACAATGTATATCTCTGCAGAGGAAACAGATCTTACATTTTTCTGGTGGCGTGGCCCTCTCCCACACTGGAGTAGCATGACTTGATGTGACTTGCAGTGGACTACATCAACTCTAAATAGCTGTGTCACCTGCCTAGCAGCTCACTCTCCAGCTTCTCAGGGAAGAAGAATACCTGCTATCTACTCATTAGTCTGTTTAATCTGTTGCTGGTCTGTAAAAATTTCTTCTTTTCTCCAAATGGGAATCTTCAATGTGTTTTCTTATACTTAAAAGTGGAAAGTCTTAGTGGAGATGGCAGAAAATATCTTGTATTTGATGATTCCCCTTCAAATACAAGAAAGTGTTATGATGAGATTTTCATGGCCAGTAGAATTACATAAATAGGACATTATAATTACAAAAATAGGACTGTGCAAACAAGGGAATAGAAAAAAAATCTGTGCTGCTTTTATCTGTACGCTTAAGAAATCAGTTTTCTAATGCAAGATGACATATACTATGAGGAATGTAGGATATATAGATCTGGCTTATTACTGGTTCAGCAACTGGCAATTTGGGTTTACCTTCTCCACAGTAATAAATAACGATGAATAAGTTGGGACTCTTGATTACTCTCTGTTTTCTTACTCTTAATAGTATGCGTACTGTTTAGAAAAAATGCCCTCATGTTGATTTCATAAGTGATAGATTAACTTTTCCTATTTTATGTACTGCAAGCTATCCAGATTGTCTGACAATATATTGTGTGGAAAGTCAGAAGTTTTTTGCAGGAATGTCCAGGTGAGGAGGAACTTCTTCACAGTGAGGGTGACAGATCAGTGGAACAGGCTTCCCAGAGGGGTTGTGGAGTCTCCTTCTCTGGAGGTCTTCAAAACCCGCCTGGATGCCACCCTGTGCCAAATGCTGTAGGTGTGCCTGCTTGAGGAGGAAGATTGGACTAGATGATCTCTAGAGGTCCCTTCCAACCTTGAATATTCTGTGATTCTGTGAATGTGTCATGATTTGCAGATTTATAAAATCTTCATCTACCTTTCCATAAAAACATTACCCAGTTAGTTAACAGTGTACAATAAGGTAAAATAAGTTTGTAACTTATTTGTTATGTAAAAGTTTAGATCTGGAAAAAAAATTGTTTCATTAAATTTGAAGCACACTTTTTGTGTGTGCAAATATTTTGAATAATATTTTTGGACACAAAAATATTATTCTAAATTATCTAATTATCCTAAAACCAGAAAAGCTTATGGGCAAAATGTGCCATTAGTGACTGATGATACTTCTGTCTGGCAGTTCAGACAGTCTGAATAATAGAAGGTTTTGATGTGATTTATTACCTTACAATCCTGAAATAGTATCTACTACTAAAAATGTTTCCACTAAAAAAGAAACTGAACTTACTAGATGGAGAAGATAATGTTTTATTAATTTTTCTTCTTGGTTTTATAGTCTTATGCCCTACAGCTCTAGTGCAGCTGCTCGAAGTGCAAATGCAAATACCAACTTGCTTAATAGGGTAATTAGGGATAGTGGAGGAGAACTAGAAAAGTTGTGCAACAGATACTTACTAAGCATAAAAGATAATAAAGTCACACTAAATGATATATCAAGCTATGGAATTGTCTCCTGAGGATGGGAAACCATTGCATACCAGTTCTCAG